TCTAGTGCGCCGGGATCAGAGTACACACTGAGTGTATCTGACCCGGCAGTAAGGGTAACTGAATTTGCCGAGACAGTGTCCGAGTCTGTGTTCGACCTGTCGTCTCTAATATTTAGGTCATCGCCTCCCTGAATTGGGCTTCGTGGTAGCATGACATTACTACTGGATTCTAATTGCTCCGCATCTTCCGGCGCCGTCTCGGCTTCCTCATCGTTCAACAAATAGGTAGTGACTTCAAGTAACCCAGCGTGTCCCTGAGGTACTGCACGTAAACTCTCGTGTGCGTATTTATAAGTGCGGTGCGAACCACTTACGCTTTTTAGCTCGTACCGATCATTCTCTAATACGGAGGTAACAACGAACGGTCCCCTAAACTTCCTATCTAGTTTAGTTTGATTTCGTTCACTATTCTTGATAAAAACAAAATCGCCCTGAGAAAATGGTTTTATGATAGCACGGCCACGGTTAAACCTTAAAGTATCCGCCGCGGCTGCCTTTTGAATATTTTCCGACGCACTTTTTCGAATGGCTTCTAAATCTAAGCGATTATTTCGCTCATCAGAATATGAAGATATTTGGGACATACCTAATGATTCTGCACGAATCCCGAACATCAGTTCCGTAGGTGAGTACTTAGTAACAGCTGATTTCGTACTATTGAGTGCTAATTGTATATTGCCTAACTCATCGCGCCATGTCTTATTGGGGTCGTTTTCGACTATTGTGAGCAAGCTTTTTAGTGTTCGCATAACTCGCTCAACTTGTCCGTTAGCCCTGCTCGAGCCGGTTGCAATAAAATGCAGATCGATTTTATAATATTTGCAAAAGTTTCTAAATTCACTACTAACATAACATCGGCCTTGATCGGCAATTACGCGTGCAGGAGCCCCAAAAAGACAAACAGCCTTTTCGAGAGCTCGCACCGCGCTATTTGCATTTAGTGATATTGTGTGCTCCAGCAGGACATACTTAGTAAACGCGTCTATTATCACTGAACAATACTCTTTCCGGTCGCTCTTACCACTAAGCTTCCCGGTAAAGTCTATGTGGACTGTGTGCCATGGCACAGATAGTTTGGGGATCGAGTGTAACTGAATAGGTTGAGCGCCTGATGGTCCCTTCGACGCTTTGCAAACTATGCATGAATCAATAAACTTACGAACGCACTTGGACATTTGCGGAAACCAGTATTGTTCGTAGAGTTTATCTAGCGTCTTATCACTACCAAGGTGTTGAATTTCGTTATGGACGTGGTTGATAAGAGTCCAAATCAGAGAGCGTGGAACGACCGGTAACCAAGAATTTGTTTTGTTACGCCCAATCTTCCTATACAGGATACCATCCCTAACATCGTAAGTATGTGCTATTGTTTCCGGGAAGTCACCATTGTTATGTTTAATAATCAGGTCTTGGATTTCACTATCGCGTTTTTGCTCAACTGAGAGCCATCCTTGATGTAACTCAACAAACTGGACACTTTTAGTAGTAGGGGTTTGGGACGAAGACGCACCAGTGTCTGACTGAAGGTTACGGGAGAAGAAGTCTGCATGTTCCATACTACGGCCTTCACGATATATTATCTCAAAGTCGTAGGCTTGTAGGAAAGCCCACCAACGATGCACGCGAGGAGTCAGATCAACCTTAGATTTTGATGCTTTGAGCGAATTGCAATCAGTGTAAACTACAAAATGGCGGCCGTACAAATAATGCCGAAAATGTTCTACCGCTCGTACGACAGCCAAGGTCTCTAATTCGTACGAGTGGTAGCGAGATTCTACCTCAGACGTACGCCGGCTGAAGTACTCCACAACATGGGGTAAGTTATTCACTCTTTGTATAAGGATCGCACCATAGCCTTCGGCACTTGCGTCTGTGTGCAACTCTACCGGCAATTCAGGATTAAAAATCGTTAAAACTGGTTCTGAAGTTAGTATTTTAACCACATTTCTACGGATACCTTCATGTTTGTCGGTCCAATTAATAGGGCCTTTTAGTTTAGTTAACTGGTATAGCGGTCCAACAACATTAGTAAACCCAGGTATAAATTTTCTAAAATATGACGCGAGTCCGAGAAACTGACGAACCTGCGTAGCTGTACGTGGTGATGGTGCTTCGACTAATGCTTGAATTTTGCGGGAATTGGGTCTAATTTCCCCAGACTGCAAGGAATAACCTAGATAATCTACTTTTTGTTTCATGAATTTGCACTTCCGAAGGTTAAATGTAAAACCTGCTTCAGTTAAGGCTTGTAAGACCTCATCTAGACGGTCCAAGCCCTGCGAAATATTGGAAGAATAACAAAGTACATCATCCATATAGATGAGAGGCCTATCATTAAGGTGTTGTAGTGCTTTTGTGATACAACGCTGGTACACAGAAGGTGCGTTGCGTAAACCGAAAGGCATCGCGAGATACTCATATTGGCCCTCCGGAGTCACGAATGCAGTCATCTCAATTGAATCAGGGTGAATTAAAATTTGATGAAATCCGCTAGCCATATCTAATGATGAGAAGTAGTTGGCTCCACTGAGCTGGTCTATCTGTTCCTCGATACGAGGCAAGGGATAGTGTTCCGGCTGTGTGTTGGAATTCAGTTCCCGATAATCAACGCACATTCTGTCGGTATTGTCCTTTTTCTTTACGAGGAGTATCGGACTTGCAAAAGGGGAAGAACTCTCACGAATTATACCGGCATCTAACAATAGCTGTATTTTTTCTCGAACTATTTGCTTCTCTATTGGTGCTAATCGATAGGGAGACCTTCGAACTATTTTATGAGGATCTATCAATTTAATGCTCAACTGCCCTGTAGTAACGCGCCTAGTAGGTATACCGTCTATGAAGTAATCTGAATATTTACTAATTATTTTTAACAGCAACAGTTTATCTTCTCCTTCTATGTCAGTATCGATTGAAGAAATATCAAAATCTGCCGATTTAGTTTCACAAAAATTGGTATGATCTTTGGTCTTAAATAAGACTTTATCGTTATCGATTGTCACACAATAACCTTTATCTAAGATATCCCTACCTACAATAATCGGCACAGACATAACCGTATCTGGAACGATGTGAAACATAAGGTCTACTGAGGCATTTCCTATTTTTACGGTACTTAAAATTTGGTAAGTGGATTGTACGTCATCACCCCCGATACCAGAAAGATGAACTAGGTTATTGCGCACAGTACCCGGAAACCGACAGCGAATACTTTCAGATAAGAGCGAGCAAGATGATCCGCTATCAAATAAAAATGGAAATTTCTCACCAGCTGATGTCTCTAACGTAGATCTGGAAAGTTGGTGGTCGCAAAGGTTGACTTCCCTCCTTTCAGATTTTCCTCCATTCTTCTTTTCTGGACAAGTTGTAGAGGCGTGACCAGGTTTTCCACACGTGTAGCAGATTATAGGCGGCTTGTCTTGATTATTTGTAGAACTGGATGCTTCATGAGACTTCAATGATTTGGAGTCTTCCTTTCGCTTCTTGCATTCAGCCTGTCGATGTCCTGCCACGCCACACCAATGACACTTTCCAGGGAACCTAGAGTCTGTCATTCGAGGTCGTTTAGAATCGGCGTCTTGATTTCCATCACTGACGTCGAACCGTCGCTTTAGCGATATGCCATTTAGGATCCGAAACAACTGAGCACGAGTGGTTATCACATGTGCTATCAACTCTCTACGTATCAAATTATCCTTTTGACACAGCACCGATATCACGAACCCAGTGATAACTTCTTCAGGAAGGTCAGTTTTTGGTATGCGTTCGATCAAGTTCCACAATCGCATTGCAGACTCTGATGCGGTTTCTTTGACTTTAATTTGAAATCGTAAAATTTCATCAAAATGATCTTGCATTAGTTTGGGTTTAGCAAACCTAGCTAGCAAAGTTTCTTTAACAGCTGCCCATGTTAATTCCTTGAGGTTCATTCTGGTCAAGTGTGTCGCCGCGGGACCTTTGAGTGCCTTAGTGAGAGCCATCAACAGATTGACACCTACAAGATTTTTCTCCTGCACTATTACTTCTGTGACGTTACACCAGCCTTCGATGTCAGATTCGGAATCATCAGGGTCAAAGTCAATTAGTTTTATGGTATTGGTACTCACAGGAGTTGTGGCTTGCGACATCGCAAATATCCGGGTTAACATTTCCTCCATATTCGACAATATTCTCGTTGCAGGGAAATTTTCTGCAGGCTGCGTGTTCCCTGTTTGTGGCACGTGGGATCCCACTTCTGATATAAACTCAGGATGGCCTATATCAGAATCTTCCATGTTTCACGGATGTCAGAAACACGAACAAAGTCACTAATTAATTTTCCAATGGTTTATTTCTTCTTAATAACAAAATATAACTCTAACACTCTTTAATTAGGCACAGATAACGTTACTAAATTAAATTAACTTAAAAACTGCTACAGATGGCGTCGGAAAGAAGCGATTCGTCGAGCGCGTGGTGCGTTGGCGGTTGTTCATTCAAAAAGTGTTTTTGATGGCTGCCCCGCTTCCACCGGTGTGACGTTCCGCAAGAATGGCAGGTGACAGACCATCTATCGTGCTGCCACCCTGTCCCGACGTCGTCGACAGCAAACGCGTCGCGCCGTCAAATATAACAAATTTACATCTATGAAGCTTCCTTAGCTTCCAAAGACTAAAATTGGTGTAGGTAAACCAAAAAAGTATGTATAATGTAATTTGAATAATAACTCCTTTTTGGGAAGTCGGTTCCTCTATCTATACTTATTATACTCTATGGAAGTCCGTAGGAGTAATTATTACCCTAATTAATTGGTAACACCTAGTGCCAACCGACACAATGAGATAGTAAATCACCAATATATCACAAAAAGTATATTTTAAAGGAGAAGTAAATCATTAAAACGACATCACTCGTATTGCATTTGATAAATGCGTTTAATTGTTTATCTTGATTTATTTTTTACAAAACACTTCACAAAGACATATTTTCGAAAATTTCTGGGAATTCAATTCAACAGACAATACAAATTATATTCTTTAATTCATCAGTCAATAATCTTTGGACAAAAATATTGTCATTGAAAAGTTACAAGCAATTTACATAGTAAGAATTAGTAGATAATAACAACAGTACATTTCAGTACTTATTGCAAATATAGATTTGTGTACTTATCATTTACTTACAACATAATTTCATTCCTATTGGAATTCATAATCTTAACTAATGATGGACTAGTATTCAATACAATGAGATATATCAACATAATACTATCCAACCATCTTATGTATCAAAAATATATAACGCTTCATATATAAAACTCTTTAAATTGCTTCATTTGTAATATAAGCACATACTTAAGTTTAAGGACATCAAACCATTGCACTTTTAGACTAATTAAGTACACTAACTTTTGAGCATGTCAAAAGATGTAAAAACCATTTATTAATCTCTCACAAATCTCTTTCGAATCACGACAATGTTGTCATTAATTACTAAGGTAATATAGAATACACTATCAAATCATGTTGATATTGTCCTCTTTTCACAGAGAAGATCACAGTTTAGTTAGGGCCAGTTGTTTTAAGCATTGACATTAATATTGCACCAATCCCTCCACTTATGCTAGAGTTTGAAAATAATAGCTTGTTTGAATATTGCAACCAAGTGTATAGAACTATAGTATAAACTCATTAGTTCTGCAAGTGGTCTCGTCGGACCGTGCCGCTTCAACTCCTGGCCCTGAATGCAAAGTCCATAAGAATGCACTCTCCTATATTAGAAGGTCTTCTTCCCAGTCTTCTTTCTGTCTCTCTGAGACGGACACTGAGGGTCGCGATAATTGCTTCAGCTCATCATAAGTGCGCGGAGGAATGGGATTGTCACTGAGATCTACATACTCTAGAGCCCGGGATCTGGCTAATCTGTCCACATCGATTTCTGAAAATGAGAAAATACATGTCACTAATTATTCAGTAAAATCAGAAAGCAAAAGTTACACCAAGTTCAAGATTTGTAAATGCCAAATTTTGTTTTTGTACTTTGTCAATTTGCACCTTGAGAATGCTGATTGAGTGAGTGGTGATCTATGCTTAATTGCCCATTCCTTCTTTGAGTAATAGAAAACCATAACTAATCACAGGCTGATCTATCAATAAATTCTAGAACCTAAAACATATTCTAAGAATATGCCAGCCAAACTATTACCTTTAACTATACATAAATAAAATTTCAAGTACCAATGATCTGATTGTGATGCGCAAGCAATGTGTGCAGACTGGGGCACTGGAAGGTGATGTGAGGGAGCGCCACAAATGTGTTGTGAGAGATGTCCAGCCGCTCTAAGCAGGCAAGTGTACACAACTCATCCGGAAGCTTCGCCATTTGGTTGTTGGACAGGTTCAAATCTGAAATTGCGATATTTTAAATTAATAACTTTTTTTAATTTTAATATTAAAATGTTATTATTTTTCTGACAAATCTGAAAAATCTTTTTATGCCGAAAGGGTTTAGTCGAGAACCTGCTATCTTAGCTAGGTAGCCAGGCCTCTGACCCCAAGGGGTCACAGACATTAGTCAAGACTAACACACAAGAAGTAAAATATTAGTAATATTACATAGTTTAATTCGGAATTGAAACTTAACAAAAATAAAAATGACTAAAAACTGACCTGTAATTAAGCTAAATTTGACTGCAAACTTAGGAGGTATCTTAGTAATAACATTTCCGCTGAGATCACAACTCTTGAGCTCTGTGTGTCGCATCAGATGGTACACGGCATCAGGTACTTGCATCAGTTGACATTCTGACAAATCTGAAACAAATGAACAAGAGTACATTACAAACTTGGCTGGCACTACCATACCCCGACACATAGTTCATATGCATAAATGGTCATAGACATAGTTCATAGACATGAATTTTATTATAACTTTAGGACTTTCTACTGTGTTTTGTGTGTTTGTAAAAACATTAAAATGACTCACACACCTCTGCACATCCTACCCAAACCTTATGGAACTTATGGACCAACAATTTATGGATCACAGAAATACATAGTTGTTTACCACAAGAATTGTGCGGAATAGTTGAAGAGTTAGAATCATCATTACACCTCATTTTCTTATCAGTCAGCGAAAGTAAGACCAGACTAAGTATGAGTAATTATAAAGCAATATTGATTGTATAAACTCTAGAATATGTCACAATCACATATTTATAACTCTGATTAACTATGCTAATCAGAATGGCTTTATCATAGTTTAATGATAGTCAAGATATGGTAAAGTAGAATGTTTCAAAGAAAGAACAATAGTAATTACATCTTATTTATCAATACTTCAGTCTAAGAAAGATTCAAATTCATTCAGAAGAACCTTCCAATAATGTTATTGTTACATTTCTATAGACTCAGATCTAAATCCTTATCATAAAATTTCCACATTTCTTCATTTGTATAATTGTGGAAATGTTTGACAGTTATTCAACTTTGATCTTTAGGTTGAATATTAATAACCCACTGTGAATCCAAGTCCAATCATGCATTACACTTCAAATATAAGAAAATAACTGAAGTTCGATCTAATAATAAGGTAACAATAGAGTAGGCCAACTAATTGAACTGCCCTATTTATTTCAGTGCGCAATTAGCACTAAATACTTAGGCTGATTAAGAAAAAAATGTTTAGTTATGCTCATAAATTTTCGAAGCAGTTTTAGGACACATTGCAATCAGTTTATTAGAGCAGAAAGCGTGAGTAGTTACGTCATTAACTAGAATATGTTCGCAGTTTCATTAGCCTTGTATTCAATAACTGTTAATCATACCTAGTGCTTGAGTTTTTTGAGCATCTTCGCACTTTAATACCACTCGAGTTACAGCTAGAGCCATGTTGATAGTTAATACACTATATAACTCTTGATTTAACTAGCACCAGCGGAATCACTAACTAGAACGGGATCACGGGTATCGGCGCGAGTTCCTAAAGTTATTTTTAAACAGCTACATAAAATATTTCAACTCGCGAAGCACGTAGCGAACTATTTATAAATTGGCAGTCAACTTTTTATTGTTGTATTTAAACAAAAACGTCCAGGTTAAGTTTTTATTACAATTATGCTAAATTAATGTTAATATTTCGCGTGTCAATATAAAATTAGATAAAACTTTTGATTGTGTTTCCTCTTCGCTTCGATTTTGTTTGACAATTTGTTGTTGAATTCTGCTTTTGACGTTTCACAATCAGCTGTTTGTCAGTTTATAAAGCACGTTCCAAAACCATCTTTTTTAAAATGTTTTTTCCTCAACAAACCTCAAAATATTTTACATGATACTTGATTATTACATTTGGTCTAAGTATTTGTTTTTCTTCTATTCTAATACTAAAACATTACTTATTTAGTTACAGTTTAGCAATTTACAAAATCGTAGAAAAACACATTGTTTTAATGAATCATCACAATCATCAGCCACAGGACCCATACATAAGACATCAACTGATGAACAAAGGCTATCTAGTTTGACCGATTAGAGGCAACTTTCATCAAGTTTCTCCCTTGCGGGTTTGTAAGCTTACATGCAAATATTTTATAATACAAGTCAAGGAAATTTACATAATTTTATGAATTAGAATTTACAAACTTAAATTATTACCTACTTATTTGGTTAAATAATCTAAGCTACCTATTCAGAAACGAAGTGAAAACAAAGAGTACGTACTAGTTTCATGATTTGTTTTGTATCTAGATTACAAACATCATTACCTACCTACTTCTTGTTGTCATCATCAACAATGAATGAATCACGTCGCTACAAGGAAGTGTTTTAACGAGCAGTGACCTCTCTACAAGCCGGCACTACCTACTGTATAAGGAATAAATTGGTTAGCTAAGGCCAACATGTGTTGAACAGGCGAGTTCAACCCGATCGCGTTTGTAAATCATACGCACGCGCATGTGAGATGTTCTAAATCTATCGCACTCGACGAATGGCGTCGTCTATGGCGCGGAATCGTTACATGTGCGGGTCTTCCGCGTTTGTGCATTCTTTGTGCTAGGTTTTCCGGGAGCCTATATGGAATGGATGTGAACGTGGATTACTTATGATAAGACAAATTAAATCTACTTTATAACACATGTACAGAACCCGTTTTAAGAAACTATTCAAATGTAGTGGGTAAACTAAATCGGCACCTACTTATCTACAATAAAATGAATAGATACCTATAATAAGTATCTGATAAAAGTTTTATTATACTTAACAACAATACAATAACAAGCCATCATCATGCAAGCATTCTGCTTACAGTGCGTAACTAATTGACAAAAATAACTGCGATACTGTTGAAATTAAATGTCAGGACGTAGTTTAACTTTACTTGAGTAGGTATCATTTTATAACATCAACTTACTTCGCCATTAGTTAATTAAAGACACGCAAAACTATGATCCGCGTTCTTGTTTAGGACGTTCGCACATGTTTGTACTGCGCAGATTTCACTTCTCCAAAATAACGTACACTAATATTAGGTATTACGACTTTGTACGGTAGCCAGATTTTTGTTTTTATTCGTGTATTTTTACTGAACAAAACGCTACATGGCAAGCAATAAATATTTATCATCTTTTGACACGAGTAGAACTGTGACCAAACGTTTGTAAAGGAATGGAAACGTTTTCCTCTGGTATATAACAATGACACGGTGTAAGATCTTTGTACTCATGTTTACAACACATTTCTTACGCAGTTGCTGGCTTTACATTACTATGATATAGTTGCAAAAAACGCGATTGTGTATCACAAAGAATTAATTAACCATATGAAATTAATCCGTGTAACAAAGGCCAGTTACAACTGGGTCTGGCCTCGGTCAGTTTCACAATTTTTACACGATATCTTCGTCTTCGTTTACGAAAGTCGAATGCAACAGAACACTCATTTGAACCTCGCGGTTATGCAAACGGGCATATTTCGCGTAATTATTCATTCGAGATACCGCATTGCAATGACTACGTTAAGTCATATGGAATAAGGTTGGGTTTTGTTAGTGGTTTGATGTATGAGTCATTAGCGTTCGCTTGGTGTTCTCTGATGATGTCCTCGGGAGAGATATAAGCGAGATTTGACGTAATTACGTGACAAAAAGTAGCGGTAGTAGAGAGTTGTTACGTGGAAGTGGTGATTTAGGGCCTTTATGTACAAATTGCCACATTATAACATAACAGCTATTTAACATTGTTAGTAAAAATGTCTGTGTCTCAGAAAATTTGTCAATAGTGGAATAGGTACCCATCGTAAGTAAAAAGCAGCCTAGCAGACAACAACGTTGGTCTACATTTAAAGAGCATTAAAGTTAAAATTTTCAAATGTTTCTGATATTTCGGTAGGTAAATGTGGAAAGCCTGATTCATTCGCATAGATATTAAATAATTTATTGGTTATGAATATAATTATAACTATTTCGTATGTAGTAACAACGTGCGTCATCTATGTTGTTAAGACATTTAAAGTTTTAAAGCTGATAAAGTGAGAAGTCAGTCTATCTGTGAGTCTAGAATCTATGTTATTTTATCCGATAACCGATAGGTAAGTACTTTGTAAGTCCTTTTTGTCATGCCCTTCAGAGTCTATGTCGTAACGTTTTGTTTAGCAACCTAAATACACAGCAAAAAGTCCAAATCATCTTCAACTAGAGATTCTATTTGCGGATTACCTAAGTACCTATTACGTATGAGCAATATAAGTGAAATCTCCGTAAAAACAATGACAATTAAATCGATTGTTATGTGATATCGATTGTCTACTCGTACTGTCTCGTATGCACGTTTTCATCACATGATAGAGTCGCGTTATTGCTCTAAACTAGAAGGACTTTATAAGCTTTCTAAATAAAAACATTCTAGGTAATACCTACTTAGTAGCACAAAGGCAAGTAGGTACTACACGTGTCTGCACAAACAAGCTATGATCGTACCAAATTCATTTGTTTTTTATTCGATTAGGAAAAAATCAATGCAAATTAATGTAGAGAGATTGTTGATAGTTGAGGTTGTAGATCCTACACCTCTGGCTATATCTTTGAAGAAAACCAATTTTATTTCAACTTTACTATGTTGGCGTGTCTATGCGTCATCTCCTTACGAAACTGCTGAGCCGCTTGTGATAATACTAAGGATGTAAATATTTTGAAGATTATTATACTATTTATCAAGTTCCGTTCAGGTGACGGATGGGTATCTACTTACTAGTCTATCTCTAAACTTAAACAAAAATGATTAATTGCATTATTGTTATTGTTATCAGTAAACAGCTGATTATTAGTCATGCATTATTACACAAGTAAACGCAAGTAATTTGAATATTTTCATTGAACTTTTATAATGTGATTTGTGATGCACTTTAATTTTATATGACCTTAGTTAATAGAAGGTAAGGCCGTTAGAATTTTTTAGTATTTTTTATTGAAATTAAGAACATCATCATTATTTATTACCTTACTTAAGGTTAAGATCAAAAAGTAATAAATTTCCTATTTTGCAAAAGTCTTTGGCTACGTATGGAAACGCATGTGTCTAGTTTAACTACACATTTGGGAACACCTGCTGCAAAATTACAAACTATCTTCGAATTTATCCAAAAGACCAATGGATAATTTACCGAGACCGAGGAATCGAAGCCTAAACCTCACAACAGAAACACCTGGCATTAGCGGCGTCGTCCTATGCGTGGTAAAATGTTAGATGCTTATTAGGTTTATTTTTAACATTAACATTAATAATCTTTAATCATCAAGAAGTACCGGAATGGCGGAGTCCATCTTTGCAACGCAAAATGATAAAGATGCCGCGATACTTGATAAAGATTGCAAACAAACAATAAATATATTGTTAGTATTGTTATCTTTTGTAATTGCGTTGCGTTCGATATGGAAATGTTTTGTTTACATTCTATATTAAAAGAGTAATACTTCAGAAAATTTTTTCGTCGGTTTCTCTATATCGGGAAATTCTCAAAATCGCCCTTCAATTATAAATAGGAATAAGTAGTTAAGTAACAACCTAATAAGTAATAACTTATAATGAATATGTCCTTTACAAAATACCTGATAGTTACCTACTACATTGTAATTACAAATTACCTAAGTTTTAATTACAATAATTGTAATTAAACCATGCGTTTTAATTGGACGATAACATAAAACTACACACGAAATATTAATTTATACAAATAAAATCGTAACTTATTATGACATACATATAATATTATGCCATAAGTTGTTGGGCCAGTTCACTAATATGTCAGGGCCTTCATTAATTCATTGACTAATTTTCACACTCGTAACCTACAATGTTAGTAAACAGTAAGCCGTATGATGGAGGTCATCTTCGCCTATTAATTCACACTCAATTTGACCCTGATTACACGACAGACGCTCTACTTTCAAAGGGTTAAAACTTATTATCGTACCTTCTATAATCGATAAGATAATGATCATCAATTTGCGTAAAACAACAATGCTAACTAGGAAGCTAATGTGCGCAAAATATTAAGGTTTCTAGATTAGTTCGACGACCTTTACTATTCTTTTGTTAGGTACACCTGTAGGTACCTATCAGAATTAATTACATGACCGATGATGCCGCTAAGTCCATGCTGCTGATAAATGCGAATTGCTATTTAGTTGTTTGATGTCTCTAAAACACTTCATGTTTTATTCATAGTGTGTTGTGGTTCGAGCACAAGTAGAACTGATTGACTACTAATGTTTTTGTTGTGGTTTTTTTATCTCGTTTATTTACATATCGTCGCAATATTTTTTTCTAAGTGATGTTGTTTTGATAGATGTAGCTTGTAAGATGAGATTTAAACAAAAATATAACTCGCAAGTAGTTAGGTACTTACCTAGTTGACTATTTTCCTGAGCATCTTCGCATCGTCCCACCACTCTGATGATGGCACGTCCAGCCAACCTCGCGCAGATCATCATGGGTCGCGCCCGAGGGTCGCCTTCCTCCGCCTCGCTGGGCATCCTCGCACCTCCATCGTATTCCGTAGGGGGCCTCATCACTGCACTTGATAAACAGTCACTGCACAATTCCTTAGTTAAGTCACTGCTAGGTCACGACTATGAAAGTCTTTCACAAGCTGAAAGAATCACGAATCATCTACCACCGCAGCGAAACGCGATGCGCCTGGTTCCAC